GAACTCTGCTAACTAGCTTTGGCAACAGAGCATGGTGGTTAATGTACTCTGAAATCAGCCCAGACAAGATCAGTCCCCATTCCACCCCAAACACGGTGTGAATTTACACAAATCATGTCATCTCTCTGTGCTTGAGTCCTCTTGGTCTTTATAATGGTGGTGCCTGGCTCAAGGGAACCTCCCATCTCAGCCCCCCACCGACTACCAGCTGCCTTTTAAATCTCGCTCATGCATCACGTTCCCTGCAGGATCTTGTGTGTCTGAAGACAAGTAGCAGCCTGTGGGAACTGACAGAACGGCTGCTGGGATGGGGCAATGGGAATGATGTTCTTATCGCAGACTACACTTAGAATCCTGGAGAATTTCTCTCTTATTTACCATTATCTGTTATTTTACATCACTGGGTGCAGGTTAAGGTCCACAGATTTGATTATCAGACACCTAATTGTAGCCAACACCTTATTCCTCCTCCCTAGAGGAGTCCCACAGACAATGGCAGCTTTTGGGTTTAGACATTTCCTGAATGATTCTGGAGGTAAATTTCTTTTTTGTGTCCACCGAGTGGGCAGGGGAGTGTCCATTGGCTGCAGTGAGCCCAGATGGGATCTATCGGGCCACTGCCCTCTAGCCTGGGCGACAGAGAAATACTCTCTCAAACCAAAGAAAAGAAATAGTAAATAAATAAAGTAACAGATCTTTTCCACAAATGTGCTGGGACAACTTACTGGATAACCACAAGGAAAAGAATAATGTTGGATCCCTATCTCACACCATCAAAATTTTATTTTAAAATGTTAAAAGAAAATGAAGAAAAAGAGAGAGAGAGAGAGACGAAAGGAGCCCTGCGGGAGGGGGTGTTACTTTGTCGCCCAGGCTGGCCTGGATCCCCAGGCTCAGCAATCCTCCCGCCGCTGCTTCCTGAGTAGCTGGGACCTCAGGCTCCCGCCCCCGCGCCCGCATCTTTGCTGTGTTTATCCAGCAGGTCCTCCCTCGCTGACCTGAGCAGTCCGTCCTGCATCCCAGGCGATGGTCCTAGGGAAGTCTCTGAAGCTGAGCACAGGGTGGACTCTCCCTCCCGAGTGAATGGAGAATAGAAAGGGAGAGAACTTCTGTTCCGTTTTGTGGGCGGTCAGCATGAAATCGTACTTTCCGCCCAGGCCGGGCCTTGAATTTTACATTCTAGTTTGCATCCCCGTTCCAGACAATTCCAGGGCTTTTTAATCATGCCTCAGCCTTCCTGGCGGGTCTCGCCTCCAAAACCCGGAAACAGAGGTGTTGGGAACAAGGCTGAGAGGCGCACAGGTCCCGCCCCGGCCCCGCCCGCTGCGGGTTCTAAAGCGCAAGGTCTCTCCGCCTCGCGCCCCGCCCCTACCTCGCCCAGGCCCCGCCCACCTCCTCGCGGGTCCCGCCCAGGCCTGGCTTCTGTCCTGCGCGCGCAGATTCGCGCAGACCAGGAAGCGGATCTCGTGGAGTGGCTCTCCCGCCGCGGCGCGTGAGTTTCGCCCTGTCTTGTATTAACTCTGCATTTCCCAGGTTTCCGGCTCTTCTGTACCTGGGACTTGGGATCCCCACAAACCTGGAAATTCTCGCCCATTCTCCTTCACCCAGAGCAAATTGAGACATCCCCGTGTGAGGCCGAGGGTCGCTTCCTTTGGGTTTTAGGTCGCCCTGAGGCTGGTGCCGTCCCGGGTCTTTCTGCTATAGGGCAATGTATACACTTTCTAACGCGTAGTTTTCCTGCTTTAAACCTTTTTCTGACTCCTCCCGCCCCGCGCTTTTTAAAGTCCTCACCGGAGTGGTGGATTCTCGCCCTCGTAGGCCCCTGGAGCGCAGCGCCGCTGCCCCAGTCCCGGGAAGGCCGCGTCCTCTGCCTTGTCCTGGGATCCTGCAGAACCCACCCTTGTCTTAAGGCGCCATCGCCGCTTCACCCCCGTCCTCGTGCGGGGCCCTGCTGCTCCACAGGTCTCCCCACCACAGTCACCGCTTCTCCTGAGCCCGCGTTGAGGAGGTGCCCGGGGCCTGTCCTGTGACACGGGGTGTTCTTGCCTGCCCAGCTCCAGCCCCTGGAAAATGTGCTTCACCGGGATGCAGGAGTCTTACTCCAAACCCTTCTGTGATTGTGTGGGCCAAAGGGATCAGGAGACAGAGAGAGCAATAGAAAACCTGAGACAGAAAAATGAGAAAGACCCACAACAGATGGCAAAGTAGAGGATGCTGAGGGATTTGCCAAGAGACAGCAAAAGTGAAAAGAAAACGATAGGAAAGCAGGAGGAGAAAAGCAACTGGAGAAATGTAGAGAAAAGCTAGATGTACAGAGAGATGAAGGACAGTAAGGTAGGGAGAGGGGCAGCAAAGAGGGAGGCTCATCAGGGTGAGGGAGAGGAGGAGGCATTTGGAGCCAGGGCAGACAGAGCAGAGTGGTGCTGGTGGCAAGGAGAACAGAGGGAGAACCACAGCAGGGAGGACACCTGGGGATCGAGGCTGCCAGAGAGTGGGGTCAGGGCGGTATAACAGGGAAGAGGGAATTTAATGGAGAGAGCAGAGGAGGCGCAGAGATGGTGTTCTGGGAAACTCAGGACTAGAGGGACTGATATGGGGGAGACAGAAGGGTGTTTATTTAAGGTAGGCACTGGCTCAGTGGATTTACATCTAAAAAGCTGAGCATTTCAACAAACACAGTGGGGTTTTTTGGTTTCAAAACTGCAGAATAAAAGCAGTTAATCATACATTGATAGGTCACGTAATCTATAGCATAGCGTAACTTGTGTCCTTCCATCGCTGGTGGCCTTGTAGCTGCGTTGAAAGAAAAACAAAAACAGCTAAATACATATATTTGTCCTTTTTTTTTCTTCACTCTTGTTCTGGGAAGGTGGGGGGCTGTCTGGAGCTCGTTCCTTTGGCTTCGACTTTGCAAACAGCGTTATCTTATAACTGTCCTTGAAGTGAGCTTGCTAGGCAGAGGAGAACTGGTTCTTCTTTTCTTTTTAACCCTTGCCTTGCCCATTACTTTTCTTGGAGTGAATGAATGCATATTTATTTTTTAATTGTCTGCCTCAGTTTCCTCCCTTAGATGCTTGTTATAAATAAGATTTTAATAGAAAGCATCACTGTTACTGGATTCTTCATGAAACAGCAGGTTTTCTTCTTTAGGCACAGGCTGATATTCACATAGAGCTATTAGTTGAGTTGTAGTCTGCCTGGTTGCAATTGCTTCTATCGTTGATTGAATGTTCTTAACAAGGAGAGGTAAGAGGCAAGGGAGTATTAAACAAATTCTTAGTATGGCTAGAACCATTTCTATTAAGGTTTTGAATCTACTGAAGGAGGAAAACCAGCCTCTAAAGAGGGACTCAGAAGTCTACTTTGTCTAAGTGTGGACTGAAACATGGGCTAATTTTTAAATTCTGTCAGTTATTTCTATAAAAGCTTTCCTATTGTCATGGATTTCTAGGCAGCAATTAGTTAGATTAAACTTTCTACATACTCCTTCCTGGGCTAGGAGGTAGTCTAAAGCTAATCTATGTTGGTAGATGGCATTTCTCATTTTTGTGGCTTGCTGGGCCAGTAAGTCAATGCATTTGCTGTTTCATTAGTGATGATTTCACGTACTGCTTGCAACTTTGTGATGCAATTAGAATGTAAATTGGGATGCGGTAGCTTTATGACTTACCTTGTGCCCAGGTAGCTGGCCTAGAGTACTGAATTAGTCTTTCAGGGGGCCAATTTGTGTCTTTCTAATCTTCTATTTTTATGTCTTCTCTTATGTCTATACCTCTTTTGTTTTTTTCTTTAATGTTATTGTAGACAGGATACCTTCAAGGTTCTCCCTGTTGCAGTGGGAGTGAGAAGAAACATGGTCTAATGGTTTCCAGTACACAAGCCCTTGTACACTTTCCTGGCAACTGTCCGTAGTCGCGAGGCCCACAGATCTAATAGAGACTGGAGGGTGCTTGCCAGGTATTTGGAGCTTCAAGCTGATACTAGATGCGGTTTAGAGAAGAGAAACAGGAGAATGGATTTGGATGAGGTGATCTGGAGTCATCCTTGCCTTGCCACAAAGTTTTCTTTAGTGTTTTATTATAATACTGCTGTCTTAAACAAGTTAATTCTTCTACTGAGTCTTAAAAGCTTTTCTTTAGCGAACAGCACAGTATCTCCTGATAATGGAAGTTTTTAAGAGTGAGGCGCTTGAACATGTCAGTATTGGTTCGGGGGAAGAGTCAGAGTTAAATTATCTTGTGACATTAACTCTTTTGCTTCTTAAGGCCACTGGTCTCCTATGTTAGTCCTTCTACAAACAACGTGAGGAAATGCTTAAGCTGCTAGCAATGTTTTCAGCTACCCGAGCAAACAGGTTTTTAGCTAAAAGAGGAGACTGTGGTAACTTCTGGTCTACGTGCTTATGGAATGATTTGAAGACTCGGAATCATTGGTGTGTAGAGATATGTATGGGGTAACCTGCAGTCCACATTGGTAAGTCTGGCTTTAGAATGGTGCAGTTTACAGGACGACAGGTTTTTGTTTCACAATCTGGTTTTGCCGGCATTTCGGTAAGCATAATTGGCTTTTGTTGTGTGCTGGGGTGCCACGATATGCAATACTCACCATCTTTTTCTGGTGTCCCAGGGGAACAAGGTGGCATGCATATGTATTTATAGTCATTTCTATAGTATCTCTGTACAGGTAGGTTACCACAGATGGGTGAGTCTAGGTCTGCTGCTGGACAAGCATCAAAATAAAGAGAAATAGGCCCTCGGTAAAAGGGAGGGACCTTGGTTTGGTTTAAGAGGGGACTTTCTTTTGACCTTGCATGAATTTTAAACTATTCACCAGGTGAAAACTTGAGGTTGTAACATATATCAGGTTGGTTATTTCCTGGTCACAAATTGAGTAATTGAGTGGGTGGTCTGGTTATAAGTAAAAGTCTTTTTTTTTTTTTTTTTAAAGATGGAGTTTTGCTCTTGCCTGACTTGGTGGCTCATCCCTGTGATCCCAGCTACTCAGGAAGCTGAGGTAGGAGGATCGCTTGAGCCCAGGAGCTATAAGGTATTAAGTGCATGCTTCCCTCAAGGCCCTCTGGTCCCTTCTGGACTAATGTTGAAAGATGGGATGGATTGGCATGGAACTGTTGGGGTGGCCAGACCCAACACCAGGCCGCAGGGGCTACGAAGTCCGGTGGAGTCAAAGGAATGAGAAAAGACAAGTTAAGGATGCATAAGGTGGGTCCAGGGGGCCAACGCTAGTATGGAGGCTACAAAAGACCCGAACTCTGGAAGCCCACACTATTTATTCGTGGTCAAACAAAGAAGCAGGTGGTACGACTGTGGGGGTTGAAAGGAAGTGGTGCATCCAGCACATGATCTACAGGTGTGTGGTTTAGCATTTATATGGAACATGTTCTGCTACTTGAGATCATGGGGAACATGTTATTCTAGTTTAAGATACAACCGTTTTCTGAGCCTGGAAGTGCTAAAATCAAGGAACCAGCAAGTCTAGGCACATTCCAGAGGCCATGAGGCATTTTATTTCCTGAGCCCTGGATTCCATCCAAGCCATGAGGGGTTTGTGGGGAAAAGAATGAGAGATCAGACTGTGGCTGTGTCTATGTAGAAAGAAGAAGACATAAGAAACTCCATTTTTTTCTGTGCTAAGAAAAATTCTTCTGCCTTGAGATGCCATTAATCTGTAACCCTAGCCCCAACCCTGTGCTCACAGAAACATGTGCTGTGTTGACTCAAGGTTTAATGGATTTAGGGCTGTGCAGGATGTGCTTTGTTAAAAATGTGTTTGCAAGTAGTATGCTTGGTAAAAGTCATCGCCATTCTCCAGTCTCAAATACCCAGGGACGCAATGCACTGCAGAAGGCTGCAGGGACCTCTGCCCAAAAAAGTCTGGGTATTGTCCAAGGTTTCCCCCCACTGAGACAGCCTGAGATATGGCCTCATGGGAAGGGAAAGACCTGACCGTCCCCCAGCCCGACACCCATAAAGGTTCTTTGCTGAGGAGGATTAGTGAAAGAGGGAGGTCTCTTTGCAGTTGAGATAAGAGGAAGGCATCTATCTCCTGGTCGTCCTGGAATGGAATGTCTCAGTGTAAAACCCAATGGTACATTCCATTTTCCGAGATGGGAGAAAACCACCTTATGGCTGGAGGTGAGACATGCTGGCGGCAATACTGCTCTTTACTGCATGGAGATGTTTGTGTAAAGTCAAACACAAATCTAGCCCACGTGCACATCAAGGCACAGCACTTTCCTTAAATTTATTTATGACACATAGACCTTTGTTCACGTTTTCCTGCTGACCCTCTCCCCACCATTACCCTGTAGTCCTGCCACATCCCCCTCCCTGAGATAGTAGAGATAGTGATGAGTAAATACTGAGGGAACTCAGAGACCAGTGCTGGCGCAGCTCCTCCGAACGCTGAGTGCCGGTCCCCTGGGCCCCCTGTTCTTTCTTTTTACTTTGTCTCTGTGTCTTATTTCTTTTCTCAGTCTCTCATCCCACCAGATGAGAAATACCCACAGGTGTGGAGGGGCCGGCCCCCTTCAGGGTTTTCTGCCTTGGGCTTAGATTGTAATGCGGAGGGCAGCCTTCCACCCTTTGGCACAGAGCTTGGAGTTCCAAAGGCCACAGGGGGTTTTAGACCCTGGACTCCTTCATGTTCCAAGACTCTTTTTATATTATGTCAGACTAGCAAGCCCTGCCTCAGCTTTTCCCCAACATGGAACGCTATTGTAAAAGCACCCATGTATTCTTTTTTCTTTTCTTTTCTTTTTCTTTTTTTTTCAGCTGGAGTTTCCTTCTTCTTGCACAGGGTGGAGTGCAATGGTGTGATCTCGGCTCACATGGAACCTGGCCACCCATGTATTCTTGGTTGAAAAAATTTGCTTATGCCGGGCGCGGTGGCTCAAGCCTGTAATCCCAGCACTTTGGGAGGCCGAGACGGGCGGATCACGAGGTCGGGAGATCGAGACCATCCTGGCTAACACGGTGAAACCCCGTCTCTACTAAAAAAATACAAAAAACTAGCCGGGCGAGGTGGTGGGCGCCTGTAGTCCCAGCTACTCAGGAGGCTGAGGCAGGAGAATGGCGTGAACCCGGGAGGCGGAGCTTGCAGTGAGCTGAGATCCGGCCACTGCACTCCAGCCTGGGCGACAGAGCGAGACTCCGTCTCAAAAAAAAAAAAAAAAAAAGAAAAAATTTGCTTATGTCTTAGTTCCACAGATGACCCTCTTTCCCTGTTTTCAAGGTCAATAGCTGTGTATTCGCACTTCTGCATTTTATAAACGTTACTGTGCTTTTCTTGTAAGGCAAATTTAAATGTTGGGAATCAGTGGCATCAGAACCTTGTAAAGAAGTTTCTTTGGCCCAGGCATGTGAAAGATGCTTCTCTAATTTTCAAAGATAGGGTGATAAAGACCAACCCTTCCCATTCGCCCTTCCAGGCCCCATGTAAGAATTCAGGCACACCTCGCTCATCTATCACATGAGAAACGTGTTTTTTTTTTTTTTTTTTTGAGACAGAGTCTCTGTTATCTAGGCTGTGAGTGCAGTCTGATGATCTAGGCTCACTGCAACCTCTGTTTCCTGGGTTCAAGTGATTTTTCTGCCTCAGCATCCCAAGTAGCTGAGATTACAGGAGTGTGCCACCACACCCGGCTAATTATTATATTTTTGTTTTATTTTGTTTTTGAGTCTCACATTGTCACCCTAGACTGAAGTGCAGTGGCATGATCTCGGCTCAGTGCAACTGCCAACTCCTGGGTTCAAGCGATTCTCCTGCCCCTGCCTCCTGAGTAGCTGGGATTACAGACACCCGCCAAGCCCAATTACTTTTTTTAGTTTTAGTAGAGATGGGGTTTCACCATGTTGGCCAGACTGGTCTCAAACTTCTTTTTTTTGAGACAGAGTCTCGCTCTGTTGCCCAGGCTGGAGTGCAGTGGCCGGATCTCAGCTCACTGCAAGCTCCGCCTCCCAGGCTTACGCCATTCTTCTGCCTCAGCCTCCCGAGTAGCTGTGACTACAGGCGCCCGCCACCTCGCCTGGCTAGTTTTTTGTATTTTTTTTTAGTAGAGACGGGGTTTCAACATGTTACCAGGATGGTCTCGATCTCCTGACCTCGTGATCCGCCCATCACGGCCTCCCAAAGTGCTGGGATTACAGGCTTGAGCCACCGCGCCCGGCCTGGTCTCAAACTTCTGACCTCAAGTAATCCACCCTCCTTGACCTTCCAGAGTGCTAGTATTACAGACATGAGCCACCGTGCCTGGCTCAGTTTTTATTTTTAGTAGAGACAGGGTACCACTGTGTTGGCCAGGCTGGTCTTGAACTCCTGAGCCCAAGTGATCCTCACACCTCTGCCTCCTAAGTAGCTGGGACCACGGACACACATGTGCACAACCATGCCTGGCTAAGTTTTTGTATTTTTGGTAGCGATGGGGTTTCACCATGTTACCCAGGCTGGTCTCAAACTCCTGAGTTCAAAAGATCTATCTGCCTCAGCCTCCCAGAGTACTGGGATGACAGGCATGAGTCACCACACCTAGCATCTGCATGGGGTTTGGTCAGGGCTGGGTCTGGGGACCCAGGGCTGGGTCAGGCAGCAGAGCTCATTCCAGCCCAGCTCCCCACTGCTGCAGCATATGTGTGGGCTCCTTCAGGAGAGAAGCGGGAGTTTTCCTGTAGGAGTTTATCATCCCTGGTGCGGTGGGCAGCACAGGGGACCATATTTCCCAGGGTGAGGTCTCCTTTGTATGTTTCATTGCGTTACAGGGAGGGGGTTTCTTGATTCTGAGCAATAAACAACATGTTTCTAACATTCAGGATTGATTTCTAAACACTCTTGGTATGTGAGGAAGAAACCTGGAAGAGGAAGAGGAAAGCAAAGGAGTCAGGGATGGCTCTTCCTCAGGTGAGATGATATTCTCGGTGGATTGTTCTGTCTCCTTCCTTTCAGAAACGCTGGGCCTTGGAGTTGGGAATCTTCTCTGAGTCTGAAGCGTCCTGCCTGACAGGTTTGCTCACACTCACCCGTGCCTTCCCTCAGTCCCTCTCGTCTCGCTTAGATTCCGTCTCTTGTGACCCAGTGGCATGAACTTGGAAGGAGGCTGCAGTGGTTGTTGTCCTGGGAAGGGCTCACACCAGACATGGATGGAGACGGGGTGAGGGTTCCGTGGTGTCAGGGCTGTTGGGCAGCAGGGATTGTTCAGGGGCCACATCTGGATGCACTGTCAGGTCTCTGTGGACCAGGATTAGAGCAGCTGCCACTGGAAGTCACGTATTCATGTGCACAACATACATGGTAAATTCTAGAAAAGGAGATCAATACGAAGAAATGTTTTCTGCCTGATTTTTTACTACACTTTTAGGTAATTGAGTGAGTTACTGTGTTTCTGACTCCAAAAATCTTACTAATTAGAATGGAAAGTTTGTACACAGACACGAATGATACAAGGTGTTTTATTCCATCATTATTTTAAGAATATGAAGTCAACCTAAATAATAGGAGATTCATTAAACCATTCTTAGCACATTAAGCTCATGGAGACTGTGATGTTACTATGGAGAGGCTTGTGAAACAGGTGTTTTCAGTAAAAATGGTTACAATTTTTATTATCATTATTATTATTATATTATGATAATGTTATTATATTTCAAATATACGTCGTCTTGCTCTATCGCCCAGGCTGAAGTGCAGTGACATGATTTTGGCTCACAGCCACCTCCACCTTCGAGGTTCGAGCAGTTCTCCTGCCTCAACCTCCCGAGTAGCTGGAATTATAAGCACACGTCACCATGCCCAGCTAATTTTGTTGTATTTTTATTAGTGATGGGTATCACTGTGTTGGCCAGGCTGGTCTCAAACTGCTGACCTCAGGTGATCTGCCCACCTCAGCCTCCTGGAGTGCTGGGATTACAGGTGCAAGCCACCGTGCCCAGCCCCAACAATTATTATTAAATATATATTTTTTCTATTTAAACATCACATGATGAGTATATTTTTTTTGTGGTAAAACTCCAAGCAAAGCTGCAGCTTAGACCCTCGGCCATAAGGCATCTCTGTTCCCAGTCACGTCCTCCACCCTCCTTCCAGCCTCACTGGGGAGCCACTACTGTCAGTTTTGTGCCAGGCATCAGAGCAAGTCTTGTACACGTGTATTTCTGCATCATTATGAGACTTTAGAAAAAATTCTACAATAAATTTTTTTAAAAAAGTTTTTTACAAAAATTAGCTGGGCATGGTGGCACGTGCCTATAATCCAAGCTACTTAGGAAGCTGAGGCAGGAGAATCGCTTGAACCTGGGAGGTGCACGTTGCAGTAGACATTGCAGTAGGACATTGCAGAGATTGTGCTACTGCACTCCAGCCTGGGCACAGAGCAAGACTCCGTCTCAAAAAAAAAAAAGAAAAAAAGTTTTTATATTTCTGTTTTCACTTTCGATTTGGGGCTACATGTGAAGGTCTGTTACACAGGTCAACTAGTGTCATCGGGGTTTGTTGTACAGATTATTTCTTCACTCTGGTGTTAAGCCCCATACCCAAAAGTTATTTTTAATTAATTTATTTTTTTGAGACTGAGTTTTGCTCTTGTTGCCCAGGCTGGAGTATAATGGCATGATGTGAACTCGCTGCAACCTCTGCCTCCCAGGTTCAAGCAATTCATCTGCCTCAGCTTTCCCAGTAGCTGAGATTACAGAGGCCTTCTACCATGCCTTGCTAATTTTTGTATTTTTAGTAGAGACAGGTTTCACCATGTTGGGCCAGGCTGATCTTGAACTCCTGACAGGTGATCCACCTGCCTCGGCCTCCCAAAGTGGTGGGATTACAGGCATGAGCCGCCGCGTCTGGCCCCCAGTAGTTATTTTTTCTGCCGCCTCCTTCCTCTCCACCCTCCACCCTCAAGTAGACCCCAGAGTCTGTTGTTTTCTTCTTTGTGTTTTAGTAAATATTGTACTTTGATATTTGATTCTGCTGGTTGTGAATTCACATGTTGTCCTGTTTAGTAAACATGGCTAGCTTGCTCTTTGCCATCTGCATTGGAAACTGGCTGAACGAAAACATGTGGGTCCTTTGAGATTTTTCCCTGTATAAAGAGTGCCATAGTGGCTGCCTCTGCACACGCCTGCATTCCTACAGATATCTGAACATTCCTCCAGGTCAGGCAGGTGAAAGGTGATTGCTTCCTCTAGGATGGGGCATTTCCTGTTTTCTTAGATCCCACAAGATTCCCCCCCCCCGCCCCCAATTGCCGAAGTGTCCTTTTCCAGCAAGATGAGATTCCTCTTCAGTTAAACAAAACTTGCTACTTTTTATATTTTTAAAGCCTTTATATATATAAACACACACACACGTACACATATACATATACACACGCAAATGTATATATTTTGAACAACTTTTACAGTTTGAAAATCTGGGGAAAGTGACAACCCTTAGTATTAACATCTAGTTTTTTGTGAGTCTGTGTAGGCTTCATTATTTTGTTTTATATATATATAACCTATATTATACATATATAACATTATATATAATGGATATTTATATATTTGTTATATATGACAAATATTTATATATATTTGTTATGTATATATAATACACATTATATCTAACAAATATATTATTTATATATTTGTTATATATATATTATATATATTATATACATATATAAAATGAATTTTCATACTTTGAGTAATCTAGTTTTCATGTATTTTATTTTGAGACTGGGTCTCACTGTGTTGCCCAGGCTGGAGCACAGTGGCATGATCTTAGCTCACTGCAACTTCCACCCTCAGGCTCAAACCACCTTCCTACCTCAGGCTCCCCAGTAGCTGGAACTACAGGTGCCTGCCACCATGCCTGGCTGATTTTTTTTTTTTTTTTTTTTTGAGATGGAGTCTCTGTTCCCCAAGCTGGAGTGCAGTGGTGTGATTTTGGATCATTGCAACATCTACCTCCCAGGATCAAGCAATTCTGCTGTGTCAGCCTCCCAGGGAGCTGGGATAACAGGCATGTGCCACTGTGCCCAGCCAGATACTAGTTTCTGATCTTTCATTGTGAATGTTGTCATCTCTGAAGACATCACCCATACTCTGTCTCATCTAGATACTGAATGTCACTTGGTGTGTCAATAAAAGTTTCTTGGCCGGGCACGGTGGATCACGCCTGTAATTCCAGCACTTTGAGAGGCGGAGTCAGGTGGATCACAAGGTCAGGGATTTGAGACCAACCTGGCCAATGTGGTGAAACCCCATTTCTGCTAAAAATACAAAAGTTAACTGGTCCTGGTGGCGTGTGCCTGTAATTTCAGCTACTCAGGAGGCTAAGGCAGGAGAATCGTTTGATCCTGGGAGGTGGAGGTTGCAGTGAGAGGAGACTGCACCATTGCACTCCAGCCTGAGTGACAGACCGAGACTCCACCTCAAAAAAAAAATAAAAGTTTAGTAAAACACAACTGGGAGGACAAAGTGTGGTGAGAAATCCCTTACGCAGATTTGTTAGAATATTCACTGCATTTAAATCCATGCTTTCACCTTTCTTTCTTCTCATTTTCTGTAAAGATAAGAATTCCGCCCATAACCATTTGGTTAAAATTTGTTTTCCTTTCAGGGTCTATTGACATTCAGGGACGTGGCCATAGAATTCTCTCAAGAGGAGTGGAAATGTCTGGACCCTGCTCAGAGGACTCTGTACAGGGACGTGATGGTGGAGAATTATAGGAACCTGGTCTCCCTGGGTGAGGATAATTTCCTTCCAGAAGTGGGGATGTCCCCTTGCGTATCTTTGTATTTTATCTTTTTTTTAGATACAAAGTCTTGCTCTGTCCCCCCAGGGTGGAGTGAAGTGGTGGGATCATAGCTCACTGCAGTCTTGAATTCCTGGGCTCAGGTGATTGTCCCACCTCAGCCTCCACCAGTAGCTGGTACAGGTGTATGCCACCATGTTGGGCAAATTTTTAGTTGTTTTTTTTCCAGACGGGGTCTTCCTGTGTTGTTGAAATCCGTCTTGATCTCCTGAGCTCACGAAATCCTCCTCAGTCTTCCGAGTAGCTGGGATTACAGGCGCCAAACCCCATACCTAATTATGGGCTTTTATTTTTAAGATTTTTGCATACGTGCAGCCGGGTGTGGTGGCTCATGCCTGTAATCTCAGCATTTTGGGAGGCCGAGGTGGGCGGATCACGAGGTCAGGAGATCAAGACCAGCTTGGCCAACACGGTATAACCTGGTCTCTACTAAAAATACAAAAATTAGCCGTGTGTGGTGGCACTGGCCTGTAAAGCCAGCTACTTAGGAGGCTGAGGCAGGAGAATTGCATGAACCTAGGAATCAGTTTGCAGTGAGCCAAGATCGCCAGTGCACTGCAGCCTGGCGACAAGTGAGACTCCATCTCAAAAAAATAAATAAAATAAAATAAAATATTTGCATATGTGTGTCCTTAAGGCTAATATGAGTCTATGAGTTTCTTGTAGACAACACATAGTTGGTTCCTGTTCATTGAGCCAGACTTTGCCTCCTGAGTGCAGAGTTAAAATACTTACAGCTGAAGTATTACTGATGGAGAAGACCTTACCTTTGTGATTTTGTTACATATTATCTGTATTTCTTGTAGGTTTTTTTGGTTCTTCATTTCTCATTTCCTACTTTTTGTGTTTAATTGCTTTTTTGTGTAGACTTGCTTTGACTCCCTTCTTATTTCCTTTTTGTTTGTTTATTTATGATGGAGTCTCACTCTGTCACCAAGGCTACAGTTCAGCGGTACGGTCTTGGCTCACCACAGTGAGCTCCGCCTCTCGGGCTCAAACGATCCTTGTGCCCCAGTGGCTCACCCCTATAATCCCAGCACTTTGGGAGGCCGAGACGGGCGGATCACAAGGTCAGGAGATCGAGACCATCCTGGCTAACACGGTGAAACTCCGTCTCTACTAAAAAATACAAAAAACTAGCCGGATGAGGTGGCGGGCGCCTGTAGTCCCAGCTACTCGGGAGGCTGAGGCAGGAGAATGGTGTAAACCGGGGAGGCAGAGCTTGTAGTGAGCTGAGATCTGGCCACTGCACTCCAGCCTGGGCGACAAAGCGAGACTCTGTCTCAAAAAAAAACCAGCCTGGCTAACATGGCGAAACTCCGTCTCTACTAAAATACAAAAATTGGCTGGACACTGTGGTGGGCGCCTATAATCCTGCTACTCAAGAGTCTAACCCAGGAGAGTAACTTGAACCCGGGAGGTAGAGGTTGCAGTGAGCCGAGATTGCGCCACTGCACTCCAGCCTGGATGACAGCACGAGCCTCTGTCTCAAAGAAGAAAAAAAAAAAATCCATAACCTGCAAAAACTACTTTTTCTCTACTAGACCTATGTTTATGTCAGAATTATTTCTGTGTATGTTGCATTTTCATTAACATATATGTACCGTGTTTTTTCATGCTTTTTTCTTCTAAACAACAGAAAAAAAGTTGAATTATGAAGAAAAGGTATACTTACACCAGTTTGTGTATCTGTCCTTTTATTTTCCTATTCATTTATTTATTTGTTGATGAGATGAAGTTTTGTTCTTATCGCCCAGGCTGGGGTGTAATGGCACAATCTCGGGTCACTCCAACCTCCAACTCCTGGGTTCAGGTGATTCTCCTGCCTCAGTATCCCATGTAGCTGGCATTACAGGCGTGTGCCACCATGCCTGGCTAATTTTGTTTTTTTTTTTGAGACGGAGTCTTGCTCTGTCGACCAGGCTGGATCGCAGTGGCGCGATCTCAGCTCCACGCCATTCTCCTGCCTTAGCCTCCCAAGTAGCTGGAACTACAGGCACCCGCCACTACACCCGGCTAATTTTTTGTATTTTTAGTGGAGACGAGGTTTTGCCGTGTTAACCAGAATGGTCTCGATCTCCTGACCACATGATCCACCCGCCTTGGCCTCCCAAAGTGCTGGGATTACAGGCATGAACCACCGCGCCCAGCCATAATTTTGTATTTTAATAGACACAGGGTTTCTCCTTTTTGGTCAGGCTGGTCTGGAGCCCCCGCCCTCGAGTGATCCACCAACCTCGGCCTCCTAAACTGCTGGGATTACAGGTGTGAACCACCGTGCCTGGCCTCTCTGTCTTTTTAGTTACCTTTACTGGAAAACTTTATATATGTTTGTGGGTTGGAGTTGCTCTTTGGACTTCTTTCATTTCTTTCTTTCTTTTTTTTTTTTTTTAAGACAGAGTCTTGGTCTGTCACCCAGGCCGGAGTGTGGTGGTACGATCTTGGCCAACTGCAACCTCTGCCTCTCGGGTTCAAGTGATTCTGCTGCTTCAGTCTCCCAAGTAGCTGGGACTACAGGCACATGACACCACACCCGGCTAATTTTTTCTTTTTTACTTTTTTGTAGAAATGGGGTTTCACTGTGTGAGCCAGGATGGTCTCAATCTCCTGACCTCCTGATCCTCCTGTGTCAGCCTCCCAAAATGCTGGGATTACAGGTGTGAACCACCATGCCTGGCCAGCCTCAAAGTTTTTTTTTTTTTTTTTTTTTTTTTTGAGACGGAGTCTCGCTCTGCCGCCCAGGCTGGAGTGCAGTGGCCGGATCTCAGCTCACTGCAAGCTCCGCCTTCCGGGTTTACGCCATTCTCCTGCCTCAGCCTCCCCAGTAGCTGGGACTACAGGCGCCCGCCACCTCGCCCGGCTAGTTTTTTTTTTTGTATTTTTTAGTAGAGATGGGGTTTCACCGTGTTAGCCAGGATGGTCTCGATCTCCCGACCTCGTGATCCGCCCGTCTCGGCCTCCCAAAGTGCTGGGATTACAGGCTTGAGCCACCGCGCCCGGCCGCCTCAAAGTTTTTAAAACATGTTATTGCTATAGATGCCTTCAAGCATTGGAAGATTTATAGTACAGGCTCTAAACTTCCTTTGTTTAATCAGATTTGTCAGTCTTCGGTGATATTGATGATGAGATGCTCCTGTTCCTGTCTCAGTCATTTCACTGTCCTGTCACAAGTAGCTTAGACTGGCCAGCCGAGGTGACTCATGCCTCTAATCCCAGCAGTTCGGGGTGTCAAGGTGGGCGGATCACTGGAAATCACGAGTTTGAGACCAGTCTGGCCAACATGATCAAACCTCGAATCTACTAAATACAAGAAATTGGCCGGGTGCGGTGGCTCAAACCTGTAATCCCAGCACTTTGGGAGGCTGAGAGGGGCAGATCACCTGAGTTTAGGGGTTCGAGGCCAGCCTGGCCAACATGGTGAAACCCCGTTGCTACCAAAAATACAAAAATTAGCTGGGCATGGTGGCGCATGGCTGTTATCCCAAGTACTTGAGAGGCTGAGGCAGGAGAATCACTTGAACCCGGGAGGTGGAGGTTGCAGTGAGCCAAGATTGCCCCACTGCACTCCAGTCCAGGTGACAAAGTGAGACTCCGGGCTGAGGTGGGAGAATCTCTTGAGGCAGGAGAATCCTGCCACTACACTCCAGGCTGGGTGACAGAGCATGACTCGGTCTCAAAAACAAACAGGAAAAGAAACAGCTTAAACTAGGAGGCTTCAGACATAGAAATTTATTTCTCATGAATTTGGAAAGTGAAAAATCCAAGAGCAAGGTGCCAGCCAAATTGGTTGCTGGTGAGAGCCTTCTTCATGGTTTAGTCCAGCCATCTTCCTGCCGTGTCCTGACACGGGGGAAAGAGGAACAGAAAACGAGCTCTTTAATATCTCTTCTTATAAAAGCACAAGTCCTATTCATGAGTAGTCAACACCCATGACCAAATTCTCTCAAAGGCCCCATCTGCTGGAAAATCCTATTGGAGAATAAGAACTCTGAAAATGGCTTTTGGCCAAGAAGAACATTAATACCAGGGAGCCTGCATCATATTTTTTATGTTTTTATTGTGCAATTTGATTTATAAAATGTTTTCTCTGATCTCAGTTTAAACATTTTCCCAGCACACATTCTATGTTTTATATTTTGTGCATAGTGAACTAGATAATTAAGGCCAACAATGCATATATATATAGAATTGCTGTATTGCCTGGCTGTTTCATAAATATAGTTGTGACATGGTAATTGCACCCTCTGACAGTGTTAGTCATTCTTTTTTTTTTTTTTTTTTTTTTGAGATGAAGTCTCACCCTGTCACTCAGGCTGGAGTGCAATGGTGCGATCTCGGCTCACTACAACCTCCACTTCCCGTGTTCAAATGATTCTCCTGCCTCAGCCTCCCAAGTAGCTGAGATTACAGGCACCCACCACCACGACCAGCTAATTTTTTTGTATTTTTAGTAGAGTTGGGATTTCACCATGTTAGCCAGGCTACTCTCGAACTCCTGACTTCATGATCTGCCCGCCTCAGCCTCCCAAAGTGCTGGCATTACAGACCTGAGCCACCGTGCCCGACCGTTAGTCAATTGTTATTCCTTATAATGCTGTGTAGTTTTTTGACCTCATAAATCAGAAGGTAGTGATCTTAACATGTATTTCAGTTCTTATATTGTGTGCTCATTGTAAGTAGAAGTTTGGCATTTTTCTTAACAGGGAATTGTTTAGAATTTTGCAGTTTGTATAAATCTACTTATTATTTGCTTGCTGGTTTTATGGATTACAATATTTTACTAATTAAATTTTATGACCGTACATAAGGCTTTTCAGTATCGGTATACAATATAACTGATACAGTCCACTAGTTAATGTCACAAAGTGCCACTGGACACTGTGGCTCACGCATGCCATCCCAGGACTTTGGGAGGCTGAGGCAGGTGGATCACTTGAGGTCAAAAGTTCGAGGCCAGCCTGGCCAAATGTTGAAACCTTATGTCCACTAAAAATACAAAAATTAGCCAAGCATGGTGGTGTGTGCCTTGAACCTAAAAGGTGGAGGTTGCAGTGAGCCAAGATCAGGCAGCATTGAACTCCAGCCCATTGTGACACAGCAAACATTTGTCTCAAAAATATAAAAACTAAAAAAAAATTTCAAATGTCACGACATGCATTTTCTGCATTGATTTAGGTAATTTTATGACAGTTATTCAGAAAAACATTGTATTTTTTTTTTTTTTTTTTGAGACGGAGTCTTGCTCTGTCGCCCAGGCTGGAGTGCAGTGGCCGGATCTCAGCTCACTGCAAGCTCCATCTCCCGGGTTTACGCCATTCTCCTGCCTCAGCCTCCCGAGTAGCCGGGACTACAGAAAAACATTGTATTAACTTTTTTTTTGAGACGGAGTCTCACTTTGTCTCCCAGACTGAAGTACAGTGGTGCAATCTCAGCTCACTGCAACCTCTACCTCTTGGGTTCAAACGATTCTTGTGCCTCAGCCTCCCAAGTAGCTGGGACTACAGACGTGGGCCATCATACCTGGCTAAATTTTGTAATCTTTTCTTATCTTCTCAGTGCTATGATTGTTTGACAACATAGAATTGCCATTGATTTTGGTTATCCTTATATGAGGTTGTTGTGGATTATTTACCAATATAGTATATCATGTGGTCCTTTAGCATTTTTTTGTATACAGTAAATATGCCGTAAATATGAAGAATATATACTTTTCATTGATGTGACAGTGATGTGTTTTGCAAACTGTTAGACACTTTAGGGTCACAATGGAAAAATATTTCTTACTTTAGGCTACACATGTTTGTGCCCTGTCAGTGTTTTGTCATGATATTGGAAATAGGCTTCCGTAAAAATAATCTGAAGCACATGTAATTGCCCTTTATTTGTTAAAAAATCATACGCTTTTCTGTTCCTAAACTTTGAGGGTCATGTTTGGAAAGTTTAAAATAAGTATTGTTTTTTGTGTCGTATTTACACATTTCAGCATTATTTGCCATCTGTACTTAATTTGAAACCTTTTGGTGTTTGTGTTTTGTAGATATCTCTTCCAAATGCAAGATGAAGGAGTTCTTGTCAACAGCGCAAAGCAATAGAGAAGTGTTCCACACAGGGACATTGCAAAGACATGAAAGTCATCAAATTGGAGATTATTGCTTCCAGGATGTTGATAAAGATATTCATGACTTAGAGTTTCAGTGGCAAGAAGATGAAAGAAATGGCCATGAAGCACCCATGACAAAAATAAAAAAGTTGACAGGTAGTACAGACCGATATGATCAAAGACATGCTGGAAACAAGCCTATTAAAGATCAGCTTGGATTAAGCTTTCATTCACATTTGCCTGAACTACATATATTTCACACCGAAGAGAAAATTGATAATCAACTTGAGAGGTCTGTCAATGATGCTTCCTCAGTTTCAACAACCCAAAGAAATTGTTGTAGGCCCAAAACCCATATATCTAATAACTATGGGAATAATTTCCAGAATTCTTCATTATTTACACAGAAACAGGAAGTACATATGAGAGAAAAATCTTTCCAATGTGATGAGAGTGGCAAAGCCTTTAGTAATAGATCACTCTTAAGGAAACATCAGATAATCCATTTAGGAGAGAAACAATATAAATGTGATATATGTGGCAAGCTCTTTAATCAGAAACAATACCTTGTAGACCATCGTAGATGTCACACTGGTGAGAAACGTTACAGTTGTAATGAGTGTGACAAGACCTTCAGTCAGACGTCATCCCTTACATACCATCGTAGACTTCATACTGGAGAGAAACCTTACAATTGTGAAGAATGTGACAAAGCTTTCCATTTCAAATCAAACCTTGAAAGACATAGCAGAATTCATACTGAAGAGAAACCATATGAGTGTAATGAGTGTGGCAAGACATTTAGGCAGAAGTCAATCCTTACATGCCATCGTAGACTTCATACTAAAGAGAAACCATACAAGTGTAATGAGTGTGGCAAGACATTTAGGCAGAAGTCATCCCTTACATGCCATCATAGACTTCATACTGGAGAGAAACCTTATAAGTGTAATGAGTGTGGCAAGAACTTTAGGCACAAGTCATCTCTTACATGCCATCGTAGACTTCATACTGGAGAGAAACCTTACAAATGTGAAGAATGTGACAGAGCTTACAGTTTCAAATCAAACCTTGAAATACATCAGAAACTTCATACTGAAGACAATCCTTACAAGTGTAATGAGTGTGGCAAGACCTTTAGCCGAACGTCATCCCTTACATGCCATCGTAGACGTCATACTGGAGAGAAACCTTACAAATGTGAAGAATGTGACAAAGCATTCCGTTTCAAATCAAATCTTGAAAGACATAGGAGAATTCATACTGGAGAGAAACCATACAAGTGTAATGAGTGTGGCAAGACCTTTAGTCGGAAGTCATACCTTACATGCCATCGTAGACTTCATACTGGAGAGAAACCCTACAAGTGTAATGAGTGTGGCAAGACATTTAGTCACAAGTCATCCCTCACATGCCATCGTAGACTTCATTCTGCAGAGAAACCTTACAAGTGTAATGAGTGCGGCAAGACCTTCAATCAGCAGTTAACCCTTAGACACCATCGTAGACTTCATACTGGAGAGAAACCTTACAAATGTGAAGAATGTGACAAAGCTTACAGTTTCAAATCAAACCTTGAAATCCAACAGAAAATTCATACTGAAGAGAATCCTTACAAGTGTAATGAATGTGGCAAGACCTTCAGCCGGACGTCATCCCTTACATGCCATCGTAGACTTCATACTGGAGAGAAACCTTACAAATGTGAAGAATGTGACAAAGCTTTCCGTGTGAAATCAAACCTTGAAGGACATAGGAGAATTCATACTGGAGAGAAACCATACAAGTGTAATGAGTGTGGCAAGACTTTTAGTCGGAAGTCATATTTTACATGCCATCATAGACTTCATACTGGAGAGAAACCTTACAAGTGTAACGAATGTGACAAGAGCTTTAGTCAGAAGTCATCCCTTATATGCCATCGTAGACTTCATACTGGAGAGAAACCTTACAAGTGTAATGAATGTGACAAGACCTTTAGTCAGAAGTCAAACCTTACTTGCCATCGTAGACTTCATACTGGAGAGAAACCTTACAAATGTAATGAGTGTGGCAAGAACTTTAGTCAGAAATCATACCTTACATGCCATCGTAGACTTCATACTGGAGAAAAACCTTACAAGTGTAATGAATGTGGTGAGGTTTTTAATCAACAAGCACACCTTGCAGGTCATCATAGAATTCACACTGGAGAGAAGACTTAGAAATGTGAAGCATGTGACAAAGTTTACAGTCGCAAATCAAGCCTTGAAAGACAGGAGAATTCATACTGTAGAGAAAGCTTACAAATGTGAAGAATGTCACAAAGTTTTCAGTCGCACATCAAACCTTGAAAGACGTAGGAGAGGCCGGGCGCGGTGGCTCAAGCCTGTAATCCCAGCACTTTGGGAGGCCGAGGCGGGCGGATCACAAGGTCAGGAGATCGAGACCACAGTGAAACCCCATCTCTACTAAAAATACAAAAAATGTGGCGGGCGCCTGTAGTCCCAGCTACTCAGGAGGCTGAGGCAGGAGAATGGCGGGAACCCGGGAGGCGGAGCTTGCAGTGAGCCGAGATCGCGCCACTGCGCTCCAGCCTGGGCAACAGCGTGAGACTCCGTCTCAAAAAAAAAAAAAAAAAAAAAAGACGTAGGAGAATTCCTACTGGAGAAAAACCATAAAATGTAAGAGTTTGTGGCAAGGCTTTCAGGCATGATTCGCACCTGGCACAGCATCCTAGAATTCACACTGGAGAGAAGCCTTACAAGTGTAATGAGTGTGACAGAGTCTTTAGTGGGCAGTCAACACTTGTTTACCATCAGGCACTTCATGGTGTAGGTAAACTTTACTGATGTAATGATTGTCACAAAGTCTTCAGTAATGCTACAACCATTGTGAATCACTGGAGAATCCATAATGAAGAGAGATCATACTAGTGTAATAAATTTGGCAGATTTTTCAGATGTTGTTCATACCTTGCAGTTCATCGGTGAACTCATGCTGGAGAGAAACCTTACAAATGTCATGATTGTGGCAACGTCTTCAGTCAAGCTTCATCCTATGCAAAACATAGGATAATTCATACAGGAGAGAAACCTCACAAGTGTGATGATTGTGGCAAAGCCTTTACTTCACACCTCATTAGACATCAGAGAATGCATACTGGACAGAAATTTTACAAATGTCATCACGGTGCCAAGGTCTTCAGTCTGAGTTCACTTCTTGCAGAATATCAGAAAATTCATTTTGGAGGTAGTTGTTCCAAATGCAATGAATAGAGCAAACAATCAAGCATTAATTGACATTAGAGTCAATTCAGCGTTGACTTGAGTTTGAGTTGACTTAACGTTGAGGTCAAGCATTAATTGACATTGAAGTGTTTATGTTAAGAGGATTGGGCCAGGCACAGTGGCTCACACCTGTAATCCGAGCGCTTTGGGAGGCCAAGGTGGGTACATCACTTGAGGTCAGGAGTTTGAGATCAGCCTGGCCAACAGATGTGAGCCATTTTCCCTGCGTGTTTTTCATTTCTTTAACAAAAACTGATAGGGATTTTTATGGGTATTGTGTTGAATCTAAATCACATTGGGTTATATAATCATTTAACAATATTAATTTTTCCAAACCATCAATATGGATTGTAGCTCTATGTTTTTAATCATTTCAATCAATGTTTGTAGATGTCAAGGTACAAATTTCTGACCTTTTTATGTTTGTTTCTTTTTTTTTTTTTTTTTTTTTTTTGAGATGGAGTCTTGCTCTGTCACCCGGGCTGGAGTGCAGTGGCCGGATCTCAGCTCACTGCAAGCTCCACCTCCTGGGTTCATGCCGTTGTCCTGCCTCAGCCTCCCGAGTAGCTAGGACTATAGGCGCCGGCCACCTTGCCCGGCTAGTTTTTTGTATTTTTTTTTTTTTAGTAGAGTCGGGGTTTCACCATGTTAGCCAGGATGGTCTTGATCTCCTGACCTCGTGATCCACCCGTCTCGGCCTCCCAAAGTGCTGGGATTACAGGCTTGAGCCACCGCGCCCGGCCGTTTATTTCTAAGTATTTCTTAATTTAAGTTCTCCAGCAAATGGAAGTGTTTTAAAATTTCCTTTTAAAATTGTTTATTGTTAGACTGTGGAAATTCAACTAATTTTTTGGTGCTAATACGGTATTGTGCAAATCCACTGAATATGTTACTTAGTTCCAGTAGTATTTTGGTTGACTCTGTGATTTTCTACACAGAAGATCATGTCATCTACAAACAAATATAATTTTACTTCTTTCTTTCTGACTTGGATGAGTTTTATTTCCTCTGCTATTTAATTGCTCTGTCTAGGACAGCCAGTATTGATTGAATAGAAGGGGTGAGCGCATTCTAGCATCATGTGAGGTCCTACAGGAAGAGCATTCCATTTTCCCTGCTTGGTTATTTATTCATTTGTCATTTCATGGATGGTCTTTCTATTGTTGAGGCAAATTTCCTTTTCTATCTATTTTGTTTAGGATTTCTATGATGACTGGATTTTGAATTTTGTGAAATACTTTTTTCCATCTATTAAGATGATGTGGTTTTCATCTTTCATTCTGTTCAAGTGGTATATCACATTGATTTGCTTGAATATGTTGAACCATCCTTGCATTCCAGAAATAAGTGGCACTCGAATATCTACATTTTTTAAATGTCCTCTTGAATACAGTTTTCTAGTACAAGGGATCTTGAAGAAGTTCATGGAAAAATACATATTATGAGAAAATTGTGCATGAATTTCACAGTTTTTGCACCAAAATAACCTGGTGCATGCCTGTAATCTCAGCTTCTCTGGAGGCTGAGGCAGGAGAATCACTTGAAGCCATTTGGCAGAGATTGAGGTGAGTTGAAATCACGCCATTGGACTCCAGCCTGGGCAACAAGAGTGAAACTCCATCTCAAAAAAAAAAAATAGAAAAAGAAATAGAAAACATCACTGATTGGTGAAAGCTATTGAATTAGACAGAAATGTAACTCTGAAAATATATATTTAGGCCGGGCGCGGTGGCTCAAGCCTGTAATCCCAGCACTTTGGGAGGCCGAGACGGGCGGATCACGAGGTCAGGAGATCGAGACCATCCTGGCTAACACGGTGAAACCCCATCTCTACTAAAAAATACAAAAAACTAGCTGGGCGAGGTGGCGGGCGCCTGTAGTCCCAGCTACTTGCGAGGCTGAGGCAGGAGAATGGCATAAACCCGGGAGGCGGGGCTTGCAGTGAGCTGAGATCCGGCCACTGTACTCCAGCCTGGGCGACAGAGCGAGACTCCGTCTCAAAAAAAAAAGAAAAAGAAAATATATATTTAAATATTGAATAATGAGCATTTCTGAATGGTGTGTATATACATATATATTTTGTATGTGATTTCAGATGCAATTTTAGATATTGTATGAAATTGTATAGGCAGAAGGATACAGCACAAACTGGTAAAAATTATGTCTAGATATAAATGACTACTTTTTATTTTAGTGTTTAAATATTTTATTACATTTGTTCAGGTGAGTGTTAATTTTCTATTTATGCATTGCCACAGTATAGCCAGCAGTTTACTACAACACTCATTTATTTTCTCACAGTTCATAGATGAAAAATGTGTCAGGTTTTTGTGGGTACTCTGGTTTCACAAGGCCAAAATCAAGGTCAAAGCCATGGGATCGAGTCTGAGATTGTGGGGGCAGAATTTCCTTCTAAGCCCATTCAGATTGTTGTCAGAATTCATTTCTTTCTCCTGGTCCCCATATATTCAAAATCCAGCACGTGAAATCACCCTCGCGCTCCTGGGTCCTAACTTCCTCTGCTTTTGTATCTCTCTGACATACATTTCTGCTGCAAGGACACATAGGACCTACCCAGATAATCCAGGATAACTTTATTTATTTTTTTTCTTTTTTTGTTTTTCTTTTTTTTTTTTTGTGAGACTGAGTCTTGCTCTGTTGACCAGTCTGAAGTGCAGTGGTGCAATCTCTGCTCACTGCAACCAGTGCCTCCTGGGTTAAAGCGATTCTCCTGCCTCAGCCTCCCGAGTAGCTGGGATTACAGGCACACACCGCCGTGCTGGCTAATTTTTGTATTTTTAGTAGAGATGGGGTTTCACCATGTTAGCCAGGCTGGTCTTGAACTCTTGACCTCAAGTGATCCACCCACCTCGGCCTTTCAAAATGCTGGGATTACACACAGTTTTCTCTTTCAAAGTCAGATGAGGTCAGGCATGGTGGGGGGTGCCTATAATCCCAGCTACTCAGGAGACTGAGGAAGGAGGATCGCTTGAACCAGAGCAGCGAGGATGCGGTGAGCCAAGATCGCGCCACTGCACTCCAGCCTGGTTGACAGAGCAAAACTGAGTCTCAAAAAAAAAAAAAAAATTCAAATGACTAGTAACCTTCATTAATTAGGAAATTACCAGCCAAATTCCTTTTGGTAGGTAGCATAACATAAACACAGGAGTAGCACCAGGAGTTGGAGACCTGCCTGCAACATCATAGGACCAGTAAACTTTTTTGCACTAAGAAAAAAATTAGTCTAGCTAGAAAATTATTAACATTTGGAATATTTCTGTAAAGAGAAATTGGTATACTATGTATTGATAAACTACATTTGTAATACTATAGTTTACATAGTAAAATATTACATAGTAAAATATATTTTATTTATTTCATATATTTATATTAATTATATTTATATAAAATATAGTATTTTATAGTAAAGTATGGTATTTTACAATACTGTATTTTACATGATCTCGTACCATTTTATGGCTGCATAGGCCATGATGTATGGGTACCACAATAACTATACATCAATATAATTAACTATACATCAATATAATTGTATAGTAATATATATTTAAATATTGGTAAACTATATGTTTCTACGAAATTTCTATATTATTTGGTATTCAGTTGTGCTCATGAGTCGATTTATTTCTTTTTTTTTTTTTCTGAGACCAAATCTTGTTCTGTAGCCCAGATCTGGGGAGCAGTATTGCAATCTCGGCTCACTGCAACCTCTGCCTCCCAGGTTCAAGCAATTCTCCTCTCTCAGCCTTCCAAGTAGTTGGGATTACAGGCGTGCACAACCATGCCCAGCTAATTTTTGTATTTTTAGTAGAGACGAGGTTTCACCCTGTTGGCCAGGCCGGTCTCGAACTCCTAACCTCAGGTGATCTGCCTGCCTAGGCCTCTCAAAGTGCTAGGATTACAGGCATGAGCCACCATGCCGGACCAGGTTTCTTTCATTTTTAAAAGACTTTTAAGTTCAAACAGGTGCAGGTTTGTTACATAGGTAAACGTGTCATGGAGTTTGTTGTACAGATCACTTCGTCATCAGGGTATAAATTCTAGAGCCCACTAATCATATTTCCTGATCCTCTTCCTTCTCCCACCCTTCGCCCTCCAATAGGCCCCAGTGTGTGTTGTTCCCCTCTATGTATCTGTCTTCTCATCATTTACCTCTGTCTTATAAGTGGGAACATGTGGCATTTGGGTTTGTGTTCCTGTGTGAGTTTGCTAAGGAAAATGGCCTCCAGCTCCATCCATGTCCCTGCAAAGGACATGGTCTCGTTCTTTTTTATGGCTGCATAGTCCGTGAGGTATAGGTACCACATTTTCTTTATCCAGTCCACCAGTGATGGGCATTTAAATTTCTTCATGTTTGCTGTCGTGAATACGGCTGCAGAGAACATATATGCACATGCGTCTTTATGATAGAACAATTTATATTCCTTTAGGCATGTATCCAGTAATGAGATTGCTCGGTCAAATGATATATCTGTCTTTAGGTCTATTTTGTGGAAGGCAGAGTGACAAGTTCAAAAATTTTTAATTTAAACTAATGGCTTTATGTTCTTCCTTTCACTTCCTTTCATGTCTTTCAAAATCCATCTTAAGCACTTTGCCTGATTCCAATCATCTGCATATAGCTTAAACTATCAAAGATCTAAATATTATAAGAAAATCTACTTTGGGTGGAAAGACTTCTCTGGGAGGCAGAGAATCCACTGAGACATACGTAGCGTGTGTTAGGTGCCTGACATACCAGACCTCAGTATTTCCTGCTTCCTTCTTGTGAGACCCTCTCTGCCTCCAGGGATCAAAGAGAAGAATCTCCCCAGACACTCTAAAATCCCTTTGGAGATGCTACCTAGGAATTAGTAAATGTTTTGTTCGTAATTACAACAGGGAAATAAAGTTTTAAAAATATAATAGCGTCCTAGGACTGCACTGTTACCTGTGACAGGTAAAATGATCATTGCAGTTGTGAGAGCAGGTCAGTACACAGAACCACAAGCCCATATCTAGCAGCCTGGCTGCTGCCCTCTAATATAATACTGACTGGCATGACCAGGTCACTGAGCTCACCATCCAGACAGAATGATGGGTCAGGTGAGTGTTTTATGCTTCAGTTTGACAGGTAGAGTCTGGAATAGAAGGAGGTATATAAGAAGTCCAGATATGGCCGGGCGTGGTGGCTCACGCCTGTAATCCTAGCACTTTGGGAGGCCAAGGGGGGAGTGGATTGCCTGAGGTCAGGAGTTCGAGACCAGCCTGGCCAACATGGCTAAACCCATCTCTACTAAAAATACAAAAATTACCGGGCTTGGTGGCGAGCGCCTATAATCCCAACTACTCTGGAGGCTGAGGCAGGAGAATCGCTTCAACCTGGGGAACGGAGGTTATCATGAGCCGAGATCATGCTGCTTCACTCCATCCTGGGTGTAGGA